TATATATATATATATATATATATATATATATATATATATATATTGGGATGGGATTATTGTAAAAGTTCTAAAATATATTTAAAGTTTCTTGAATACCTAGATAATATATTAAAACACTGCAAATTCTAATGTGATAATGGCACCTTTAATTTCAGTGGGATGCATTAGACCGTTAGAGAATTATCCAGATGTTTTGACTGTCATTGATAGTAATCCTAATGATCTATGTTTGTAAGATTTCTAGGGCAACATATTCAGACCCCCCATTGAAACTTTCCCTTTCTTTCTTCCTTCTGAAACATTCTTTTTCCTATGTCTGCTCTAAATCTTTTAACAGATCATTAGAGGCCTTCAGGAGAAGAAAAACCACTTTTATCTACTGATCAAACACAGCATACCCCAGTGTAAAAAGAATTGGCTCTTCTTTTTAGCCAGCAGATGGCAACCTACACTACTATTTACTACAACCTTAAATACAATTAACCTTAAACATTTTAATTAAAAGCAACATGATTTTGTTGCATAAAACTGTATCTAGGTAGTCGGTGTTCATGTAGTATGAGAAAGGTCAGTTAGAGAATCAAATAAAAGCCATAATTACACATCATCAGGGAAGAAGGGCTATTCTATCAGCTTGCCCCAGGTGCTTGATGTGGACCCAGTGAGTTTTCAGAAGGAAGTTGGGATTATTCCTGAGGCTCTGCTACACAGTTTGAAATTAGCATGCAACTTAGGTCTTATATTGAATGATATCTGTGCAGACACTTTCAGTTTGTGGATCCTGTAATGTCCACTCTTTTATGGAAGAACTCTCAGAGATGAAATAGCACAAGTTTCCTAGTGCACTGCTGGAAAAGGAGGGCATTCAATTGAACAAGGCTGATAACCTTCAGTAGGACATACATTGCAATAATAAAAGTGATGAAGAGAAAGTACTTCTCCACTCTTAGTGTGACCACACATATTTGTTTATTTATTTAATAAATTTGTAGCCCACCCATTTCATATACTACACATCATTCTGGGCTACTTATAGGCAGCTGGCAGCCCTCTGCCTAATAACCAGGTCCCTCTTTGGTAAGAAGGGTTTGTGGAAATCCTTGTGAATATTACTGCAGGCATCCGTCAGATAAAACCACACATTCAAAATATCTTGAAGTCCAGCTAAAAAGGTCCTATGAACGTGAGTGGAGCATGTTCAGTTCACGTTTCAGCCAATTGGTCCTGAGGAAGAGACCCAGTCCTTGCAGCTGTGAGCTTTGCAGCCTGTGTTTTGGACCCATATTTCTCCTGAGTTATCAAAGCCTTCTGGGAGATGGCATATGACTGGATCCAAATGGTGTTTAATGCCTCTGCAGAAGTGGATAGTTCTCTCTGCTTTGAAGAAGGCAGTATTTCACTTCAAGAAGCCATTTTTGAACCTAACTTTCTTAAACAACTTTTGTCCAATGTCCTATACTTGCCTTTTTAGGAAGGTTGTTGATATGGTGGAAGGTGTTCAGCTTCAAAGAGCCCCAGAAGAAGATCTTTTTCGATTGGAATTCATGCTGAGTTACAGTAGTGAGATGTTTATCCTGTAATATGGAGTATGAGAAAGACATTTTGAGGTTAGACAAAGCTGTCAAGATCAGATAAAAGGCACCAAAACCTCAGCTGGATAGAAGGAAGGGCAACAAACTCAGATACCCCGAAGCTTCTCCAGTGGTAAAGGAGATGTGGGGAAGAGAGAATTGTACTTTCAGACTCTCAAGATTCAGTGTAGCATTACAATAAAGTACATAACTCATCTGGTTGTGAGTCCAATCTAATTTATACTGTGAGGCTGACATCAAACTAGCTTTGCAGAGTTGCTTTGGATAGTGAGATGGGTATATAAATTTAATAAATAAATACAATCTCCCTAGCCTGAAATATTTCAAGAACAGCTACTGTATAGTCTGTTTGCTATGCCCACAGACTAAAAACAATTATTTTATTAGGCTAGCACAACAATTGTATCCATACCTTTCCAATTTTCTTCTTTAGTTATAAAGTCACTACTTTATTTGTATGCTTGAATATGCTATGTGAAAAAGATTGTTCACTGGATGTGTTTTCAGTGGGGATAAAAAGCAAATAGGCAGTTCAGCAGCCTCCTGAAACTTTTTTCCTTGCATAAAGCAAAGCTTCTCATAGTGTACAATGGTATGAACAGGATGTACAGAAGGCTTCCATATGATGTGCTCCTTGAAGTAAACAAGTAAACAAAGAGGAGAAAAGTGTGCTTTGATATTTATGTTTACAAGCTATTGCCAAGCTCTATTTTTAATTTTTCACTCCATTTCTTGAACACAGCTATTTACTTTTAGGCAAAAATAGAACTGCACAATTTTTTTCACCCTAAATTTCTTTAAGAAAACTACAGTCTGAGTTCTAGCCACATTCTGACTTCTTCCTATCCACATTAAGTAATATTAAAAATTTGGACTATTGTGCCATACAATACATTTTAACTGTTTGGTTCATCGTGGTTTCTTGAAAAAAGTCAAAATTACTGGGTTTGTGCATTGCAATATATCAAAAATCTTCACAAACCATAATAGCTGGATTAAAACCATAAACTAAAATCAAGAAATCATATGGCTTTGCACTATGCATAAACAATTTTTCCAGCTTCCTTTTTACCTATATGTCATGTGCATCTCAACACAGCTTTTTATAGTATATATGAAATGCTTTTTTGTTTGAACTTTCTGTTTTAATTAGCATCGTACATAAGATAGGTTTAGTATATTATTTCCTAGTCTTTATCAGTCTTCAGTCAAAACAAGCATGCCTCAGAATAACAGAGTTCTATGTGTTCTAGTCCAATCCCCTATCAAGCAGGAAATCTACCATTTCAGACAATTGGTTGCCCAATGTCTTCTTAAACAACCTCCTGTGTTGTAGCACCCACAACTTCTGGAGACAAATTATTCCACTGATTAATTAATTAGTTCCAGATTGGTTGTCTCTGATTAGTTTCCTTCCATTGTGTGTTGTCCAGCTTTCAGGTGCTTTGGAAAATAGATTGACCCCCTCTTCTTTGTGGCATCCCCTTAGATATTGGAACAGTGCTATCATGTCGTCCTTAGTCCTTTTTTTCATTAAATTAGACATACTCAATTCTTGTATTCGTTCTTCATATGTTTCTACTTCCAATCCCCTAATCATCTTTGTTCCTCTTCTCTGCACTCTTTCAAGAGTCTCAAATCTTTTTTATGTTGTGTTGACCAAAACTGGATACAATATTCCAAGTGTGGTTTTACCAAGTCATTATAAAGAGGTATTAACACTTTGCATGACTTTAATTCTATACCTATCTATACCCTGTAACCCTAACTCTCTGCTGGGAGTTTATTGTTTGCATTAATATTACCAATCAAATCAGATGTCTATACACATGAAATTAGTTTTAGGCTCCAGATCTTGCACATAGCCAAGGCACAATATTTTATTCTCCTTTTTCAACCAAATTGTCCA